AAAATTATTATGTTTAGATCTAATTTTCTTAATGACATTTTGATGAAATAACTAGTTTTTCAACAAAAATTGTTTTACAAATAAAAATTTATTTTTTATTATTTCGTAAAAAATTTCTTTCTAAATAAAAAACTTTCTAAATAGAATACTTGCTAAAATAAATTAATTAATTACATTTTTTACATATAAAAATAAAATTTCTATTAAGCTTTCAGTTACATATATTTCGTTGTTTGCTAATATATAACATAAGTAATTTATTTATATATAAGACTATTTTATTGAAATGTGAAAATAAGTTATTTAAAAATCATTTATCATAATAATATAAAAGATATTTAATATATCATATATTTTAATAATATTATATTAGAATTTAATATATTAATATATATATCTTCTACTTAGAATTGGTTAATTACAAAATCTTTTGGACATAAGTGAATGGATAAATAATGTTCAATAATAAATCACATCAGTATTACATAAAAAGGCGTTTAATGTATGACAAAATAGCAATCAAACATAGAATTGCAAAGATATAGTGATCAGAAACGTGTCGCGCACGCGCGCGCGCGCGCGCGCGCGTGTGTGTGTGTGTGTGTAAATATCTGAATCTAAATATTGTTATAAAATTTTTTCAAAGGATTTTAAAGTTTGATTGACCTCGTTACATTAACAGTGAACACTTAAAAGGCACAATCAACGTCAACAGTACAAAAGTATCAAAATTAAATAGACAAATATTTCACTTTTCTTTCATAAGAAAACTACTGTAATATACGCATTCTGTGAATTTTAATGACCATTCTGTAATACAATTCTCAAGTCACTTTTCTCTTCGGTTTAAGCTGCATTAAAATTGATTATTTTATCTGCATAAATGCGCCTCATAGAGGTAGAAAGTTACAGATTTTAAACAAGTGACTTAATTAATTATGTGAATTAATTATACAATCAGTCTCTAATATTACAGTCTAATATGTTAAACATAAAAATTCATTTTTTTTACATCATGGCTTGATATTTCAGATGTGCGAGTAACGATGTATGCTAAATGCTACTGTAAAATAAGCCACTGGTAATCTATTACTACATAAATTAGAAATTATAATAAATCAATTTTTATAACAAAACCTTCTATCTTGATTTTATGCTATAATTTATACTTAAACCTAAATTTTTTTATATTTGCATGCAAAATGTGTCCACTTTTACAATAAAATTTAATATACAACATTGTATACAACAAAGAGAAATAATTATTAAAATATTATAACCGTTATAAAATTCACTCACACGTTCGAGATATCAAACTGTTACATTATAAAATGCTATGATAAAAATAACTATATAAAATAAAACATAGCAGATATATTAAAATTATGTGAAACACATATATATGTATGCATATAATATATAAAATTGCTTACAAATTATAAGTTTTTGTTACTTTACAGTGTTATGACTACTTTTTTGTTACTTTACAGTGTTATGACTAATGTATCTGAACTTTCTTCACCGTATCAATCAAAATATGCAAAAGAATATTGAATTCCATTCACACATTCCTATAATTTTAAATGATTTTTTAAACAAAAATTAAAGAGTGCTGAACTCATTAAAGGTTATAAATAAATAAATGCGAAAGACAACTAAGAATGCAATTATTTTATTTCAACATGAACGTAATTACATTATTTGCATAATTGGAAAAAGAAAACAAATAATTTTCATAGTAATATATATCGTTTACATTTTCGATCTCTTCAAATATGTTCGTATCAACATCACTTATGTTTCAGCACTCTAAAGACAAGTAATATTGCAAATAATCTTGCATGTATTTCTGTAATTTTGTGCTATTATAAATGTTATAAATTTTGTTTTCAATTCAAATATTATATCTTATATAAACATATTACATAATACATAATATAAACTAGAAAGTAATAAAATGTATTGCTATTAAAATTTTTTAATAGTTTCATAGAAAACAGGTATAATGTACCATGTTTTTGAAATATATATATCAATTATTATATATAATACATATAAATATATTAGAATAAATTGTATAGTATATCTTAAGTTTTAGATATATTTAAATAGCGAAGATTAAAAGCGTCAATTCACTGTAAAGTATCAGAAAACTTTCATTTTTATATAAATACAGTTCTCTTACGCTTAGTTTTCAATTATATAGGAGTTGAACCTTCCATAACATAAGCTACATATTGTTTTATGTTTGTTATAGCAAGATGCAGCACTTTGTTTCCTTATTACGTTCACTCCCATCTGCTTGGTTTTCCTGTGCCTTGCGAGCAGCTATTGCTCTCATTAAATCAAAGAATACCTGCAATGTGGAGTAAATGTCTTTATTTATTTCTGTGACTGATTTTTTGAAACATATATTAATGATTGAAAATTGAAAATGTGTAAAAAAAGGAACTATCAATGTAATATTATAAGTAAATTATAATATGCAAATATTATTTTAAAAATTTACTTATTACAGAATCTTTACCTTCTCCTATTAAAACTTTTTTGTTTATTTATATTTATTTATCCAATTAGTATTTTATTAAAATATTATAAATAAAAAAAGATTATATACATTTACAAAATCTACATTATTTTCAAAATTGTTATATTCCCAAAAATTATTTAATTAATTAACTTTGTGCAAATTAACAAGATATATTTTTTATTTTAACGCACAACAATAATATATACCTCAATTAAAAGTAAAATATTTAATGCTTTTCTCTTTTCTTATAAAATAATTACTAATTATTTATTAGGTGTTGGAATTAATTCGTAGCGTTTTTTAATGAAAGAATGTTATTTATTTCACATGAGCATTAAAAAATACATTAATGAAAGTACTTCCCATCACTTGTAAAACGCTACGAATTAATTCCAACACCTAATATAATACAAAAAATATAGTTCACTTATACGACATGTAACAAGACATTGCAACACAATGTATAATAATTAAAAAAAAAAGAAAAGAAAAGCATACATGCTTTGCATAAGCTGTGATAAGCTTTATAAGAAAGTGTATAATTTCACATTTATTTTGTAAATATTAGAACAATTTTTTTTATAATAAATATAGAATTTGAACATCTGAAATACGAATATAAAGCAGAGTTAAAACAGAGATATGCAACAAAATATTTTTTAAGTAATTAATATTTATTAATATTTTCTTAAAAAATCACACAATATTAATTTATCTAAACATTTTCATTGCATATTTGTAACGTTGAGTATAAAAAGCGTTTGTGTTAGGCAACACACTATTGGCATACACTCTATTGGCATTCCCTATATATTATAGACCGACATAAAGTATTAGCGAATTCGATTGAACGCACTGGTATATATTAAAGTCATCGTACACAAATAGATGTAAAGATGTGTTTATACAATCGAATTCGCTATAAAATTGCCAAGACAGGAAATGCCACCAGTTCTATTAACTTGTCAAAACACAAAATAAAATATGGTGCAAGAAAAAACAGCAAACCTATAGAATAATGCACTTCTTTTTCTTCCTCTTGGTACGGTCTTTACCTCGACTATTGCTTGCTGACTTATCTTCAATTTTGCGTGACCTTATCTCACGCATCAAGTCGAAAAATACCTGCAAATGTGCAATGGATGCTGTCTCAAAGCTTTAAGGCATATAAAATGTGCATTATGAAATAAACATATGTTTTTCATATATGTAAGAGAAGAAAATGAGGATTGTGCGCATATAAGCAATAGCACAATACATGGTGACATAACAATGTATATAAATATACATAGATTGCAATTAAGCCTATTTAAAAATGCATATTTCGTGCAATCGATTCATATGCGATACATTACATTGAGAGTGAAAGTGAAAGCAACAAGAAACATATAATATAAATATACGTAAATACATCTACTATTTTTGATAATTTAATTACATTAATATGAACATATGTATGTATGAATGTATGTAGAATATGCTTAATGAGATAAAGTGTTCTGTAGTAAAAGATCTAATTTAACAATACTACCACAAAGTCTATAAAAAAAAGTTAATCCCACAAGGTTTTTATTTTACTAAAAACGAAATAGAAAAAAAGTCACAATCAGAAAGTAATATCATAATTATTTTTTTAAATAAAGACAATATTGATATATAAGAAAAAATTATATATAAAATATTTATTATATATATGTAGCATTTTAATAAAATTAAATAAAAATTATGCATAATCAGCATTTTACCTTGTCTACATTTTCTTTTGTTTTAGCACTTGTTTCCACATAAGGAACACCCCATTGTTGAGATCTTGCTTGAGCTTCGGCTAAACTAACCTTCCTTTTTTCTTGTAAATCACTTTTATTTCCCACTAATAAAAATGGAATGTTCTCATCATTTTTTACCCTGAGAATTTGTTCTCTATAGAAAAAAAACAGATTTTTTTCTATTTATATGTGGAATGATCAAATAATACATTTATAATCAGTTAATTGCCATGTATTAAAACTTTCTCCAATAACATAAAACTAGTGATTAATTTTATCAAATTTTACTGACCTAAATTCCTGTGTAGCTTGAAAACTATCATCTTCTGTTATCGAAAATACACAAAGAAATCCTTCCCCACTACGAAAGTAATTGTCACGAATCGCTGCATAATCTTCTTGTCCTGCAGTATCTAGGATATCTATTTGTACCTCTTCTCCATCTAATACAACTTTCTTTCTGTAGGAATCTGCTTTTGTAGGTTCATAATCTTCAACAAACTGATTTTAATATTATGATTAAAATTATCAGAAATATCTTTCTAATGTAATAATACTTCAAAATTAAATATTTAAAATATGATAACGTTTATCATTAGCAGACATCGGATTTTTATGCAGACATGCACAAAATATACAAATTTGCACAAATATGAAAATATGCACAATATGTATAAATAAATATGCATTTTTTTAATGCTTTTTAATAAGAAAAATTTATATTTTGATGTTACTTTCCAAACTACTTTCTAAATAAATATGAAGTTGCATAAGAATCCGATGTCTAATCATTAAATACTTGAAATGATAAAAATTACATGTTTCTTTGTTAAGTTAATAATAAACAGGCATTCTTTATATTTAAAATATATTTAAGTTATTTTGTTTTTTTATTTTACCTCATCATACATGAATTGTAACGTCAGAGCAGACTTTCCAACACCTCCACTTCCAACCATTATGACCTTATGCATTGCTTGGGTAGTTCCTGGCTTCTTTGACATTTTTGAGATAATTACCTTCAATTAAGATAAAGTGGTCATTAAATATATTTATCTTAAAAATGTACAATAACAGAACTTTGCGCTTGCAATATTCAGACTTTATAAACATAAATATACTTGTGACATTTATTCATATTTATTATTAATTTATTATTAATTGTATTACTTTTTTAACAGAAATCTATATTTCCCATTACATGATAACTGTAACAAAACTGTAATTGTACAATTGTATGTATATATCTTCTGCACTTCTTCGAAATAGGGGTTTCTTTCTGATGGTTATCTTAATTAAAGCAGAGCAGAAGAAACAATGGCAGGATGTGAGAATTACGTTGTCAGTGTGAGAAATCTAAGCTAAGTATAGTTTCATGCATGTATGTGTTCTCATATATTTTATATATATCATACAAATCTATGACATATTGTCTGTATTTAAAATAGATAATTTAATATATCAGGATATCAATAAAGAAAACTTGTAATATTTGTATCTTGACTTTAGTCATAAGTTTATTCTAGTATTTGTATATTTCTATGAATTATATTCTATACTTGAGTAATTTTTCAATAAATATAAATATATTCTATATATATAGATAATAATCAAGATATTAACACTACGATATAAGTAAGAAATATAACAGTTGCTTTTAGTATTATAGCAAGTAATATCAAATAGAAAGAGAAAGAAAAAAATATAATTTCTGGGAAACTTACTGTCAAAGAAAAAGCAGAAGTAACAGAATTAAACAGAAGAACAGAAAGAGAAAAGAAGAACAGAAAACTTACTTAATCAAAATAAATTATACGCCCACCATTCAACACATGCTGTTCCTATTCAAGATTCACCACTATTTTCGCCCACGTGAAAGAATCAAACAAGAAATACCTAAAAGATATGTGAAGAAAACGAAAGAAACTCGAAGGATATTTCATAAAAGGCGTATATATCTTCGTATCGACTGCACTTTAATTTACTCCAGTTCCTTTTCTTTTCATTATCTCATTCGCGCGAAGATTCCCGATATACGGACGAACGTATATTATAAATAATTGTGACGAGACACGTAAGAATCACAGTAATAAGTCGCCTGAATCGTCGCGTTTATCGAGCGACACTGGTCGGAGCAAGACAGGCCAGAGTCATCGGAGGTTGTCGCGGAGTGTAATATGAGTAATCGAGAAAGGCGGTGCCGCGCTATCCTCCGAGGATAGCGCGGATGCCGCAAAAGCCGCACGTCGCTGCGTCGTAGCCGTCGGGAATCGTCGGACATTTCGCGCGGAGATGAGGCTGCACCCGGGCCGCTCGAACGAACGCGTGATGACGAAACCGTTTTGCCTTCCTTCAATAAATACCTCTGAAAATCACGCAAATCGGGAGTGGCTGGTCGTTCCGTGATCTCTTGTAGCCGTCACACGCGTTGGTTTTTACTTTCACGCAATCGAATAGTTCTGACGGTCAAGCGCCGGCGGCGTCTCGATCGTCGTATCGTCGCATCTATTCGCGTGAACTTAGCTGATATGTCGATCAAGTTTCATGGTTTAAAAATATATGTTTAATTGAAACTATACAAATGTTTGTTACTTTTTAATTTCAAAACCCTTTATATATAATATACACAAAACAAAATTTCACACGAAAATTTTATTTATTTATGTCAACTATTAACTGCGCAAACATAATTAATTAAAATGCAGATATTAAATGTAAAATGAATTTACAAAATATAAACATTTTTGTAAAAAAATTATTGTCAGTTAAATTCATACAAATCTAAAAGTTCAAATAAACTGCAATTAATTTAATTAATTCAATTAATTCAATAACCGGTATTATTTAAAGAAAAAATTCTAGCTACAATCCATTGATGATCCACTCTTTTCTATATATTAAATAAGAAAATTAATAATTTTATCTACGTTAACAAAATTGCTTAACAAATTAACGATTAAATTAATCGAAGTTGATCGAAGTTCACAGTCCTAATGTGTGGCGCAACATGGCACATTTTTTTAATAAAAATTCATCCTTTCCACATCATAAATAATACAAATTTCATGTGTATCAGAAGAGGTATGTGCTTTAATTCTGTCTAAATATTCGCGCGTTACGACGCAACTGGACGCAACGTTAATTGCTCATTGAATAATAATGGCTCAAAAAACAATCAGAGATGTTTTCGTAATTCAGCATATCAATTTTCGAATATTTTTATGAATAATAATAATAAATAATTAAAACAACAATAATCGTGTCTCAAATAATTAACAATGTCCGAATATTTAGAATAGATTGATTTCCCAATATGCGCATAACTTCACGTCGTCATTGAAGTTGGACATCACGCACGTTACTCATGTAATTGTGACTTTTTAATTATCTATTATCAATATGCCTTGTTAATTTGATATGGAAATGAAACAAAACTCTGTTATTTGTTAGAGAAATTTACAGTCGTGGTAATGAATGTTGAGATTTAAAATGGAGCATGATCTTCTCAATTTTCCATATAATCCAGATTAGTTTACTCGGGTTTGTTCGGTATTGCTCTCAAATCTGTTTGAATCTGCAGACCGGCAGACGGATAAAAATAACTCGCACACGGCGTAATTATAACCTCTATGATATTCTGTGTATTTCGTTGAAACAATGTTTTATTAATGTTGAATTGTTTCAGCGGTATAATTTAGATTTCTTTTCATCTAAACATTGGTATATCGTAATGACTGCGTCGTCGAATATTAATGCTGAACAAGAAATTGAAGATCCTGTTGAGCGGATGTTAAAGACAACCGGTTGCATAGAATTACATTATCAAGTTCAAGTATGTTTACTTCTAACTGGTTAATGCTCGTTTTTACAATGTAGATTAATTTTCATCTTAGTTTAACTTACTCTTTTTTTTCATTTTTAGAACTAGAAAAAGATGAATTAATTGAACCAAGATTAAAATTATTCTACATTTATAGAAACGGATATATAAGTTTTAATTATTAAAGTTTAACTGCTTATAGTTTCAGTTCTAAAAGAACAATATAAACTCTGAGTTAACTTTAGTTTTAACTCTAAGTGTATAAATTAATTCCATTGATTGATTGTTGTAAAATAAATGTTTTGATTACATTAATAATATTCTTATTTTATAATTTTTTAATAACTGATTTGATAAATAATTTTCTAGGAGTGTATAGCGGAACATCAGGACTGGAGAAAATGTCAAAATGAAGTAAAAAAGTTTAAGGAATGCATGAATAAACACACAAAGCAGCAAGAACAAAGACATTAATAGTGCTTTGATTAAGAAAAATTATAAAAAGATGAGGTCAATGATAAGTAAATATATAAGATCTTTCCTATCTCCTGTTTGGAATGGAGAGAGTTGTAAGATGGTAATAGTGGTTCGATCAGATTTACCTATGGGAAAAGGTAAAACTGCTGCTCAATGTGCTCACGCTGCTTTAGAATGCTGTCGCCAAACCCTCAATAACGAAAAGAAGCGATTAATGTTTGAATCCTGGTTACAATGTGGACAGCCTAAAATTGTTGTTAAAATACCAAACGAAGAAGAGCTATTGATCTTAGCAGGTAAAGCTGAACGCGCTGGTTTAATTACTGCCATAATAAAAGATGCTGGTATAACTCAACTGAAGCCTGGTACAATAACAGTTATTGGTATAGGTCCTGGTTCCAATGAAACTATCGATAGTCTTACATCAAGATTAAAATTGTTATAATTTTATATGTTATATCAAAACATAATTTAATATTATAAATTTATATTATTAATATTATTAATTTCAAAGAAATATTTGATTCAAATTTTTTAATATCAAAATACATCATTCACAATCTAGGATAAATAATAACTTCATGATGTTGTTAAAAGATTATACGTGTGTGAAAAATTATTAATTTTTACATCACATTTTAAGAAAAACATTTCTCTGTATAAAATAAAAATTTCAAAATCAAATAACTATACTTTTAAGATATGTAATTATAATAAGATTAAGTTCTATATGGTATACTGTATAGTGTACATAATATAAATATATATGTAAAGAAAAAAGAACTATATACATATATAATAAAGAAATAATTTCTGACTGTAATATAAATTGTATTTCTTAATCAAATGTTGCTTTTGTTATTGAAGAGGTCCATATCAATTGCAAATAAGTCAAATCAGGTATATAAAACAATTATTATTATCAAGTTGTACAATACATTATCTAATCTGGCAAAAAGATTAATTAAATAAAGTATCTTTCCTGCTTGTTGGGCTGTAATGAGACATGATATAACAATTTCATTATACTAAAATATTTGCTATAATACTACCTCCTCCATATATCTACAAAAAGCATCTCAAAACACATATTTGAAGACACACAACTTTTGGAAATAAATTGTATATACATATATATACATATTAGACACATCGGCATAGAAGCATAATTTGTATAACATTGTCTAAATGTGCTTTTCAAAAAAGTAAACTTAACATATATAATTTGAACATAGATAATATTATAAAGAAATAAAAAGTAGATTGTATTAAATTGCTTTCATTGTAGTGGATATTAAAAATATAAATGTATCATAAAGATTTTACCGATTCCATAAAATATACATATATGGATCATTAAAATATTCTCAAGAGATCCCATAAAATATACATATACGGATCATTAAAAATATTCTCAAGAGATTATACATACATAATCATATTATCTAAGTTCTTACAAGATTGAGCAATAATAGTACGACAGAAAAATGCGTGCTTACAGCGTAAACTCGCATATCAGATCATGTTTCAATTTTCTGTATAAAGTACTTATACTTATTCAACAATGTGCAACTAACATGTAAACTTATTTGAATAAAATCGGAAGAATGTTATATAGGTGCTCTTTCATTTTCCATGTTTGTGTATGTGATCATTATTTGTATATTGCGTATTTAATAATAAAACTGAATTAATAATGATAGTTTAAATTACATACTTTGAAAGATCAAATCTTTTTATAAAATTTAGAACAAGATATGAAAATGTTCTCATATAAAACATACCAAAAAAATATCGTTTTTTTAAATTATAGCTTCTTTATCCAATTTATAAATCATTTTTTCTTAGCTATTATAGAAGTTCATTAATTAATGGATCCTTTTAATTTCTAATACTTTTTAACAATCTTTTAAATTTTTTACTAAAATTCAATTAAAATTAACCGAAAGTTTTGATTGTTTTTTTTTAATCGCTAATTATTCAAAAGCTATTGGCAATCTAATATTAAAAATGATAAAAAAATTTATAGTTAAAATCTGTCTGATAATTTTGGAACATTATGTAACATTATGTCTTGGTAAATCTACTATTAATATATATAAATCAGTATGACTTTTATATATACAATTATCGCATACACAATTTTTAAACCATTCAATTAGAATCAAATTATATGTTACGAAAGTTATATAAGTATTTCATTTCTATCATTCTTATTCAAGTGCACATTGTAATATTTTTAGTAGAATAGACATGGAATAATTACAAGATGTAATGAAATTAAATAAATAACATAAAAAATGTATATTTTGTTAAAAGATTTTTTACATATATAATATAACAGTTTTTCTATAAAATCAAAATGATAAAAATAAACAAAAATTAACACTATAAATTCAAGAAATATGAATATGATATGAGTAAGTAAAATATAGTTTAAAAATAAATATTACAAATTATGTATTATATATATATTAGGTGTAGTAAAAAGAAATCCATTATTTTTCCAATAGATGGTTTTAGTAATCTGTATCACGCGTAGACGAGCTACAGATTACTACACCTAATATATATATATAATTATTTTTGTTTAATACTAGTGCATAATCATATGAGTAATTCTCTGAATATGTAAGAATATGTATTAATGTTATAAAGATATATACTATTCCTCGAATAGATAAAGATACTTAATAATTATGTGTGACTTGTAGATATAAAATTACTGATATAATTAATACTGCCGATTATTAATTTATATATTAAATTGAAAATTATGTTCATAGTATATACTCATATCATACTCATTTATTTCTGTTGTATCTGTTAATTTCATATCACATGGCCAGATTTGACAAATTTGATATATCCCTAATTATAGGATGTGCACAATATTTCAGTTCTGTAGCACATATTAGAGTACTACTAGATTGACGTTTGGCAAATGTACATCACATCACTTGTAATTAAAAATGTCATCAATTTAATATTTATACTTGCAATGGACGAATATTAAGTAATTATTTTACCGAGTTCCGACGGTTCTACATAATTATTTAATACATGCGGTGCTTCGTTGAATTCATCAAGTTCATCACCATTATCCGCGCCTTGCGCTAATAAAAAATATTGTTCACTTCTGGTGGGCCATAATAAATGAGCCATTACACAATAAGCAAAACAGTCTGCCGAATATGTTATACCTATAAATTGACAATGCGTTAAATATGAAATATAGTTGAAGAAAATTAATTTTAACAAACTTTACTCACCTAACAATAGCTTAAACCTCCATAGTGCGCTTATTTGAAGCGCTATAAGTGCTATAATGGGTAAATATATAAACCAAACTAATGACGATGCACCAAAGTGAAGGAGAAAGTTCAATTTTTGAGTATTATGCTCGTATGTCATGGTGTTTCGAAGTTCATATAGAAACCATACCATTATGGCACTTCGGAATAACAATATAAACCATCCTGGCCAAGTTTGATATTCATCTATGTCTTCAATAATATCAACTTCTGTCTGAAAAAATAAATTCATAATAAAAAAGTTTACACTTACTGCAATTTATAAACAAAATATATTGGGTCATCTAAAAAGTATCCGCAGTTTTTAGATGATCCAATATAAAGAATAGGGAAAATAGTTACCATATTCCATACATATAACAAAATGTGCACAACCCCATAACAAAACCATATTGCAAACACCAATGGCTTCCATGTTAATTCCATTCTTGTTACCGCCCATCCTTTGGCAAGTAAGAGTAACAATAACATAAAGGACGTCTAGAAGTAAAAGTAATTTAACATTAAAATTTCGTGAAAATAATACCAAAAAGTATCCATAGTAGATACTTATCTTTAAGACCGTCTTAAGCTAATTACAAAGTTGTATTAGCATCTCAAGACATTACTTAAGATGATCTTAAAATAAGAATCGAACTGTGAATATAAATACCGGCATTAGATTATATCTTAAAATTGTACTTAAGACAGTCCTAAATACTAATTATGAATACTGATTTATGGATCTTATCGTACGAATAATAAGCGATATTAATGATTCTTTGATGGATTATAATTAAAAAATCATAATAATTATGACTTCAATATTTTTGTATTAGAATTTTTTAATCTATCAGAGTACGTTATTAATATATTTGATCGTACAAAGCCCTATATACACATACACTAAAAACATGAAAAATATACTAAAAAAAATACACATTTTTAAATAAATTTAAAAAGATTAATAGTAAATAATAAATTTAAAAAGACTAATATTGTATAGAATACGTTAGAATACTCGAATTTAACGAGTTGAATAATATTTAATATTCACGAGATGTTTTCCTTACCCGTGAGAGAATATCAAAAATATCACCTGCAACTTCTAATTGCTCGTAACCTATTCCATCTAGTGCAAATTTCAACACGTGTATCAAGATTAAACATACTGCCACAAATTCTAATAATAAACTTGCAGTGAACAATCTTGTTACAGGATGCTTTTGCAATCTTACTGCATACAACTGCAGTGGCACCAATATGATATAACACACAAAAAACAGCAAATATAGTTCGATGGTATTCTGTCTGTCGTATGAGAACTGATAAGTCAGACTGTTTAGGCCACTGACGTTCGGATTGCCGTTTACTAGCCAGATGTCATACTCCAATTCGTCGTGCCTGCTATAATATTCCCATTGGCAAGTTGTTTTGTTCCTATAACACGCTACCAAGCTCATGTACCAAAATCGTGGTTGCCAGAAGTCCTGTATAACGTATGTAAACTGATGTCCCTTCACGATATTCCATACAGAATCCTCATCTGGGCATAATTTGTCTCGAGGACATGGGACTCGTCTTTAAAATGCAAAGCATTTTAACATTAACATTAATTAATCGTACGATATGGGATGCTTTCCAGCACAAGAAATACAGATAACAGATATTGATTTCCAGCAAGAGATGCAGCATAACATAGTGATCATGTTTA